TCTGACAACAACAGGTAGAGCACAGGTCGAGGGTACGGTTAATGGCAAGGGATGCTGTCTTACAATAGACACCGGCGCAGACAGGACCGTCATCAACGTAGCTACCGCAAAACAAGACCCTCTTGCTTCACATTGGATTTGTGGAGTCACGGGGCACTGTGCGCAACTGAGGGGACCCATGGAGGTGGTGGTAGGGGTTGGTGGCGCCGAGCACCGTCTGCTGGCGTATGTGGCAGACATGGAAGACCCCTGCCTCCTTGGTCAGGACTATCTGGCTCAGTGTGAGGCACTGGTGGATTTTAAAAGGAAGTCTTTTGCAGGTAGGTGACGCGACGGTACCTTTTGTAAACGACAACACGGTGGTGAGGCAGTGTGAAGTAAGGACTGATGTGCATCCCCATTTGGAAGATTTGCTGCAGAGGGGCGTTCAAGACCTTACAGGGGAACAGGCTGACAAGCTGCGGACGTTACTGTATACTTATGCTACAATATTTTCGATAGGGGACTTGGATGTTGGCTGTACGAATCTAGTGAAGCATCAAATTGATACAGGTAGTAGTCGCCCTATTAAACACGCGCACAGACGTATATCCCCAGTGCATAGGCGTGATATGGAAGAATTGGTTGCAGAGATGCAGGCACAGGGGATCATTGAGAAGTCAAGCAGCCCCTGGTCATCTGCTGTGGTCCTAGTAAAGAAGAAGCCAAATTCTGTGTGGCAGGGCGGGGTCAAAAACGCCTATTGCCGGGTGGATGACATCATTTTTGATGCATTGATAGGGACGCAGTGGTTTAGTACTCTTGATTTGAAAAGTGGGTACTACCAGCTAAGGATGGCTGAGGAAGATAAGTGTAAAACAGCATTTTCATTTGGCCAAGGACTATGGCAGTTTAAAGTTATGCCATTTGGTTTATGCAATGAACCCGCCACATTTGAACGTCTTACGGAACGTATTCTAGATGGGCTACAGTTGAAATCACTGATCTATTTAGATGATGTTATTGTGTATGGGAACACTTTTTGAGCAGGAGTTAAAAAGACTAGAGGTGGTATTCCAGCACTTTAAGCAGGCCAATCTGAAGTTGAACCATAAAAAGTGTGTGCTTTTTCAGACTGAGGTGCCATTCCTAGGGCATATAGTGAGCAGGGATGGAGTGAAAACCAACCCAGAAAAGGTCAGGGCTGTGCAAGAATGGCCAGAACCCAAGGATAAGGGGGAAGTGTGAAGCTTCCTTGGGCTCTGTACATACTATCGAAGGTTTGTAAGGAATTTTGCCAGCATTTCCACTCCTCTGCATCAACTCACTGGCAAGGGTGTGCATTTCCAGTGGAGCCAGGAATGTCGAGTGGCCTTTAACCTACTGAAAGAAGCACTGTCACAAACACCAGTGCTGATGTACCCAGATCCACGTTGCCCTTACATCTTGGACTGTGACGTGAGTATGGATGGAGTAGGAGCAGTCTTATCGCAAGAGAAAGACGGACATGAGTGTGTTGTGGTATATTATAGTTGCAAGTTCAACAAGGCTGAGCGGAAGTATTGTTTTCCAGAAAAGAGCTGCTTGCGATAGTGAAGAGCCTGGACCACTTCCACCATTACCTATATGGGGCTAAGTTTACCATCCATAGCGACCATGCAGCTCTTCGTTGGCTGAAAACTTTAAAAAATGCAGAAGGGCAACTGGCACGGTGGATTGGGAAGTTAGATCAGCATAATTATGAGGTGATTCACCGACCAGGGAAGGCCTACGTCAACGCCGAACCTGACTGCCGTCACTGCAGCAAGAAGGAACCTACTGAGTACTGCAAGAGGACAAAAGTCATAGATGTCAACAACTGGGGGCTGAAGGAGGCACAGCGAAGGGACTGGGACATCGGACCAGTAGCGCAGTGGATGGAAGACAGTCAGGATCGTCCAAACTGGGTAGCCTGGCTACTAAAAATCACTGGCATGAATGGGATGCCCTCAAGATGAAGGATGGTGTTCTGCACAGAAAGTGGGTCAAGGCTGATGGATGCGTTAAGTTCTGGCAGGTGGTGTTGCCAAAGGAGCTGCGGGCCAGACTGATACAAGAGGTACACGATGGTGTGGCAAATGGACACATTGGAAACAGCAAGACACTGAGTCGACTGCGCCAGGGGTTTGGAATGCGGAAGGACGTGCGTGAATGGTGCAAGACGTGTGCCACCTGTAATGCAAAGAAGGGACCAGCAAAGAAGGGAAAAGCACCCCTACAATTGTATCAAGTGGGCACACCGATGGAGCGGGTTGCGGTAGATGTGACTGGACCATTTCCAGCGATAGCAGCTGGGAACCGGTTCATCTTGGTTGCCATGGATTATTTCACAAAATGGCCAGAAGCCTACCCCATCACCAACCATGAAGCAGTTACAGTTGCGGAAGTCCTTGTGAATCAATTTTTCAGCCGTTTTGGAGTATCTGGCGAGTTGCACTCTGACCAAGGACGGGAATTTGAAGCGGCTGTATTCCGAGAGTGCTGCCAGTTGATGGGAATCAGGAAGACCAGGACGACGCCTCTGAGACCGCAGTCTGATGGTATAGTCGAACGGTTTCATAGAACAATAGTGCAGGAGCTGGCTGAGTACTGTAGCGAAGGACAGACGGAATGGGATAGAAAACTTCCACTTTTGTTGATGGCATACCGTTCTGCAGAGCATGAAGCCACCACCTTCACCCCTGCTAGGATGATGTTAGGAAGGGAGCTACGTTTTCCACTGGACTTGGTGACTGGGAGGCCACCATATGAGGAATTTCCTGTAGCATCCAGTGACTATGCCGTCGAATTACAGCAACGACTTGAGGAAGTGCACCACCAAGTGAGAGGACACCTGAAGTGTGCAGGAGAGAGCATGCGGCGCTATTATAACAGGGACGCCCGTGCAGTCAAGTTCAAGGTGAGAGATTTAGTGTGGCTGTACAACCCCCAGAAGAAGGGTATGTCACCCAAGCTACAGAGCCCTTGGGAGGTGCCCTACACCATCATTGAGTATGGTACCGAGGTAACATTCCGAGTTCGCCGACGACCAGGAGCAAGAGCACGAGTGGTGCACGGAGACAGGTTATGGGAGTATCATCGAGATGGCCACTACACCTGGGGCACCAGCATGGAGGAAGTTGAAGACCCACGCGAGGTCGTAGCTGCTGTTCCTGAGGAGGCGGATGATCCTGGTCCACTGGATACACACACCGAGGAGAATGGACAACCAGGAACAGAGGTGGAGGACGACGCCATGGGAAAGTCTGAGGACGAGATGCAGCATCCGATTTCGAGACCCTGTAGAAAACCGAGATTACCGAGGCATCTTCGTGATTTTATTGTAAATATATGATTAATGTATAATATATATGTTTTGTACTTCTGAAGGCTAATCGATATTGCATATCTTAAAAGTATATTTTTTTGTGTCCAATTAGTTCTTGTGTAAGGCTGCTTGCAGCAGTTGTTTTAGAGTGTGATAGTGTACGAGGACGTCCACTTAGAGGGAAGGGGGCAGTGCTGTGAACGCTGTTTGCGCATCGCGATGTGCATGTTTTTTTTTGGCGCGAAGAAGGGGGAATCGAGGGGAGACGGACAGAGACGGAGGCATGCACGGATGTTGTGCTGAAGAGACATCAGTTTTCAGTGCACGTGAAGTGTCACACCCTAGCTAGCCTCATGCCACCTTCCTAGTGTCGTACAGCATCGATGAGTGTTGTGTTTTAGTTCTCAACAGCAGAAATAAACGGACATTGAAAGAGTTAAGTGACCAGCACTGCCTTTGACTCTCGTAGTGGCGCCGTGATGTATAGACTGAAATAAAGGGAAAAGAGTGAAGTGCCATCTTTCTCTCACCTGTGCCACACTGTTGCAAGGGAGGATATGCAACAATATATATATATAATGGGCAATCCCAAATTTTGCAACCAAACACTGAACAACTACTGGCCATTGCGGCTTTGTGCGCGCCAGTCAGTCGAAAACGGGAGAGCGAGGGAGATCCTTGCGGCTCTATATTACAACCAAGAATGACCACATGATTAGCGTCGAACCCCCAGACTTTTACTCCAAGTGACGTCATGTGCTAGATGGACGAATTCGAGTCGCCTAGTGACGAGATCTGTACTTATATAGACCTTGGCCATATCCACCCTTGTTTCTACCTACAAGGGTCCCTCATGGCAAGCCGACAGGCAAGGACTCGGCCCATCTCGAGCTTGATCGATCTGCCCACACCACGAATTCCTAGGTCGTCCCACAGGCCTCCACCCAGGGCTGTTTCGTACAGAGACAACCTGATAGGAAGCGAGCCAGGTGGCCATACAGCCTGAGTTGGCAATCACAGATTGTGCAAGTAACAGGTCCTGTGCCAGACTCATGATACAACCGTTGGTAGGATACGTAGTCCTGGCAATAGTACCCCATGATCCGGTGCAAGAACCTATTACAAAAGGCATCAAGATGATACTCCAAGGCGCAGGATAATCTCCAGGTTTCACTACCGCATAGTAAACCTGGCATTATCAGGGCCTTGGAAAATGCGTAGCTTGGTCCTTCTGCACAGGTACGGGTATCTCCAAATACTAGTGATGAGAGAGTTCATGATCCCTGCTGCGAGACCAATCTGTCTGCTGACTTCCTATTCTGACAGCCCAGAGTTATGGACTACACTACCAAGGTATGTGAAGCTCTCTGTGACTTTAGTGTCCTCGCTGTAAGCACGTACCGACAGAGCAGGTTCTCCTAATATGTCCCCAAAGTCCTGGATCTTGGTCTTGGTCCAGGAGGCCTCTAAACCCAAGGGCTTCGCTTCATTACTAAATGCATCCAGAGCCACCACTAATGTTTCCAAAGACTCAGATTAGCAACATCAAAGTCAAGGTCAGGAACCTTGATATTGCCCAGAGTTGTTCCACAATGGCTTTGAACAGTAGCTCTACCCAGTATCCAGTCCATGCAAGTGTTGAAAAGTATTGGTGCAAGGACATAGCCTTGCCTCA